TAATGTGGCCAGCATGTGAAACCATGGCACCCACAATACTACACAAAGGTCCACGCCTCTGATAGTTTGAGAAATAACTCCCAGCTGAAGAAAGTAGTCCTTGAAGGCCTGGAATACATTCCAGAACAGAAGGTCCTCTTTTAGAGGGGTAGAACGAGGAATAAGATGCCTTGATGATGTTGGACTGGACACCAGGGACTATCTCATAGGTTGTACACAAGTTCAGGAGCTTTAACAAAAAACAGCAACAGCAACAAAAAAATAATTCTCCAAACCTTATGTTCATGCATATTAAAAATTCCATGTTGGGCATGTAGCAGAGAGCTTATACATTCAAGCCATTCTGTATTTTCTTTGAAGACATTGAATATAAAGCATTAGTGGTAGTTGTCATCTGGCTTGAGTCAGAGTGTGTTAGAAATATTCCTACCAAATTTCATTTCTTTATGCTGTCTCTTGGTGGAATCAGAGGATATTATACCCAGGAGAAATGAAATTAATGTAGGGTTGGATGGTGCTTTCTTTCTTTCTTTTCTTTTCTTTTCTTTTTTTTTGGTTGGTCATGGGGCTTGAACTCTGGGCTTGGGCACTCTGTACTCTTCAGCTCAAGGTGAGCGCTCTAGCACTTGAGATATAGCGCCACTTCCAGTTTTCTAGTGGTTAATTGAAAATAAGAGTCTCACAGACTTTTCTGCCCAGGCTAGCTTTGAATTGTGATCCTCAGATCTCAGCCTCCTGAGTAGCTAGGATTACAGGTGTAAGCCACCGGCGCCTGGCTGGATGGTGCTTTCTTTGTAAATTCAGTAAGCAGGACTGTTTGTGGGACACAAGGATTTTTGTACTTCTCCCTTATGAGGTGTGTACTTCTTTCTAAAAGTGTATTTGAGAAAGTATGTTTCCACACATCCCCCACCCAGTTAGTGAGATAGTTTTCTCATTCAGGTGCAATTTCCTAGTGAAATACTAGCTTCTAAGTATCCTGAAGTTAGTTTATTGACTCTTATTGCACTTTTGAGTACCTAATAAATAATTTATTAGTCTGATGGATATGTGGCTACCTAACTATGGAGCATGAAATATGCACTGTTTTTCTAATACACTGTAGGGAGACCTGTTTATAAAGTATTTAGTATTGGTTTTATAATGCACTGTTGACAACACTAGACCACGGAGCTCAAAGATCAATCTCATTTTGGCCCACAGTATTAATGCTACTTTATAAAGCAGTGTGACAGGTCACTTAGGCAGTGGCTCTCACAGAAGGACTCTGTTAGGAAGGCAAGCTGTAGTGGTTGCCAGTGCAGTGGATGAATGTCTTTGTTTATATCCTATCCCTGACGTGACTCTGTGGCAGCTGCTGATGTTGACCAGGTGATGAAACCCCATTTCCCTGTTCTCTAGAGGAATTCTGGAATAAAAGTACTGAATTCTACTAATGCGGCATTCACAAACTGGGCAGGGAGCTGGTATGACTGGGTTACAGTTACATTCTTGGAGAAAGGAGTCAGCAGTAAGAAGAGGAACTTAAATTTCCTCAATTTTGTCTCATATTGTTAATGAAGTGATATTCTTCCTCATACTCCTTCATTGAAGCCACATATGTGACATAGTATAAAGTATTTCCTTTTTTTTGCTTTCAGGAATTTTCCTTAGGAATGGTTCACAAGCATTTAAAAATCTGCCTAATAAGCACTACATTTGGAGTATGATTAAATAAAAATCAGATAATGTTAAATCAATTCTCAGTGTTAAAATTTTCCTCTAAGGATGCTTTCTTATGGAGATGTTGTATAAATTACAATGGTTTTATAATGTATCATTGCCTTTTAGGGTGTATGTTTTGGAGCAAGTGCATTAAGAACTCTTTGCTGGTTCTAAGTATTCCAATTCCCAAACTGGAAACTCTGAAAATACAATGCATTGAATCTAATTGACTTGCTTGTGACTTCTTATGTGGTTTTAGACACCAATGCTGTGTCCATTCTGGTATTTGCCATTTCTTTTATTCATTCCTCATTGTTTCTGAGCTTTATTTAGACCTGTTCAATTGGACTTGTGCTGTTGTTGTTGTTTTTTCTCCTCTGTAATAGTCTTTGATTTTGTTCTATGGTGTCTTCCTTAGCAGGTAGCCATATCTTTTACCTTTTGGAATGATAGTCTCTTTTCTAAAGCTGTTATTTATTGAGCACTTACTAGGTGGTAAGCATTTGTTAGGCCCTAAGTTACCAAGGATAGTAAACTTGATCCATTTTTAACCAGAGTATACCTTAGGAAGAGAGGTAGGAAGTTAACTTGGCTTTCTTATGTAAGCACTCTTAATATGTGTATTTTTAACCCACAGCTTTTTTCTAATCTCTCTCTTTGTTTTGTGAAGGAAAAAAAAAAATAACCTTTTCTCCCTTTAGGGCCACTTTTCATTTGTGTTCATGATCATAGTCTCTCTTAGGACCTTTTTATACCATTTTCCCTCTGGCTTACATCTTCAATATCTTTTTCTCTGCTGATTTCATCCCTTTTGCTTATGATAGAGTATGTTTTCTTTCTTTTTTTTTTGTAGGGAGAAACAAACTGTCAACTCACTTAAAATTTTTTCTAGGCCCTGCTAACTTTTTTACAGCACATTCTTTGTTCTCTTTATGGAATTTCTCAAAAGTATTCACCTTTTTTCCCCTCCTTTTTGTCTTAGTTCTTGTGTAATATAGATTCTATATATCCATCTATCTACCAAGACAATTCTAACCCAAAATTCATTATAAAATAGATCATCCACAACTCTCTCTCTCCATTTCTCTCTCTCCCTCTCTCCTTCTCTGTCTGTCTGTCTCTCTCTCCTGAATACCTATTTACCTAAACTTAAGAATTATTGCTATCCAAACACATCTGAACTATACTATGTTACTTCTCAAATTATATTGTACCAGCCTCTGCCAAGTCCCCTATTACTTCTCAAGCACTGTTTGAGTTTGGTGTTTATCATCTCTGTGAATTTTCGTTTGTTCTTATTGTATGTATGCTACTACCACTACACTTTATTACATGCCAATTATAATATTATATATTAGAACATTTTAAACTCTCAGCCATCCTACCTCCTGTAAAATCTGTCTTGTCATTCAGAACATTAGTCAGTCGGCCTCTTAACACCACAGATGTCTCCTGTCTGTCTCTCAGTACCATAGTTGTTTCCTCTAAGGTGTTCACTTTGGCCATGTTTTCTCACCTCTTAAGTCATATCTGTACAGATGGATAAAAATCTGATAACTCCAGTATTGATCTGTTTTCTGAGCATTTCTAATTACCTAATTAGCTGCATGATCTAAAGTTATACCAAAGTGAGCTTGTTGTATAATCCCCAAACTTGTTTTTATTTCTGTTGATTGTGCTATTTTCTGTTGCTCTGTCAGAGATCCAGTGTCACATTTGCTCTTCTCACTTGTTATCTACATCTTATTAGTCCTACTGTTTCCTTAATTTTATTCTCAGAGTATCTTTGTGTCTTGTGTTTTTTAGCCAGCCCATTTGCCAGTAGTCATGATACTCAGTTTTTTAGGAGCTTCTTAATTGATTTCTTCACATCTTTGTTTTCACACTTCAGTCTGTCATAGCATGACAGATAAATCATTTTTTTGTCTTTTTAAAAAAATTTTTTATTGTGAAAACACCTTACAGAGGGGTTACAATTACATGAGCAAGGTAATGAGTACATTTCTTTTTTTACATTTTTTATTGTGAAACATTTTAGAGAATAAAAAATAATCATGCCGTTGAGAATCTCTTAAACTTTTGACTGCTAGTGAGTAAAAGGAAAAACTCCAACTCTTTCCAATGAACTATGAGATTCTTGACATTATAGTAATTACTATTGACGATGCATCCTTTCATTTATTATTATTCTACATATAACATACTATTTTATAGTCAAACTGGATCACTTTTCTAGGAATATTAACAGTTCTTCTGTGCCCAGAACAAATATTAATTCTGCAAAGAAGTTTCCTATTACTAAGCTAGAAGGAAATTTTTTTAAGTCATATAGAATTCTACTGTTACTCTTATCACATTTGTTAAGTTTATTTATTTTTATTATTATCATTAAGTAGTGTACAAAGTTCAACAAAACAGTTTCTCTCCCATCTTTCCCAACCCTGTTCATACCCTCAACTTATGTGTTTCCATTTAAAATTTTAATTAGAGATAATATCACACTATTGTAGCTCAGCCTGGCCTCAAACTTATGATCCTTGTGCTTTAACTTCTCAAGTGCTGGGAGTCCAGGTTACACGTCACCCCATGTCGTTCATGTTATGTTTTCATAGGTGTGTATGTGTCTGTGCGCGTGTGTGTGCAGTGCTCAGCTTCTCTATATTAGAATATAAATTTCTTATGATCATGGACTGTATCTTAATTTTTGTGTTCCAATATTTTGTGTAATATTGACTAAAAATGTTTAATTTTTAAGGTGACTATAATAATTGGAAGAAAAGGAAATAAGTTGAGCAAACAGCTGGGGGTATAGCACATGTAAAGCATGTGTTTGGCATGTGTGAGGCCTGTGTTCAAATATTACAACACCCTCCCCCACCCAACACACCAAAAAAAAAAAAAGAACTTGAATGGGCTAGAGGTATTGCTGGATGATAAACTGCTTGGCTAGCATGCATGAGGTCCATGACTCAAACCCAGCGTTGGGGGTCGGGGGAGAGAAAGGAAAAGAAAAAGAAATTGAGTTAATTAGGGCATAAGTATTACCATATCCATTTTCAATCAGTAAATGATTCAGTTATTCCCACTTTGTTACTTCTATTTTCTCTGGGGTTTATTTATTTAACTATTAGTTGCTGTCAGACTCAGGAATTATTAACTCTTTTTTAAAAAAAGTGTTTGGGTGGTCAGAGAAGTATGTCATATTTGCACTTAAAAATGTGTTTTGATGTATTTGGTGCTTCTAAGTCATGTTGTCTGCAGAATATATGTAATTTCCTTTCTCAATCTCTCAACAGGCACGCTTTGTGCCCACCCCACCTCCAAATCGGCTTAATTACAAATCAGAGGGCAGGCTTAGTGAACAAGACTGGCAAGCACATTTCAAAGTCCCATGTTATGGGGTTGATCCGTCTCAACTTGAGGTATGTTATTCTTTTCTATTTAAGTCATTTGGCTATGCTCACATTCTTTGGCAGCCTAGATGAGGTCTTTCTCTACTAATTATTCTTTCTTCTACTCTTGGACTATCTTTCATGTTCATCCTCACTCTCTGAAACTCAGATATGTATTGCTTCCTACTGCTTTTTGCCTATGAAGAAATTGTTTTAAGCTGTAGTTTTTAGTAACATTTATTTGGATGCCTTTGTGATAAACTTTATTCTTTTGTCCATTCCATTAATTTGTTTGTTTATTTATTGGTGCTGAGGATCAAATCTAGGGCCTTATGCATGTCTCTTCCTTTATCATCTTTATTTTTTTGGTCATGTGGTAGGAGGGCTGAGTGATTACTATTAATATTTTTGGTAGTATTGTTAATCTTAGTAGTAAACTTTTAGAACTGGAGTGTAACATACATATAAATTGTAAGCATATTGACTGATGAATTCTGAAAAGGTGGATGTAATCCAGGATCACCAGCTAAATAGAGATAAGAAGCACTGCCTACATATCACATGCTTTCCTTACATACTTTCTCAGCCATTCTTCTGCACCAGAGGTAGTGACTACTCAAATACTCTTACCCATTTGTCCCCATTTTTAACTTATTGTCAGTGGATTTCTCCCATTTTCTAGATATCTTAAGTTTAGAAGCAATCTTCAAGTAGAATCAAATTTGCTTTGTTTCAACATTTTTCTCTTTAAATACAGACATATATAAATAAATGTATATATGTATTTTTTACAAAGCCTTTTTATAAAGACTTAAATTTTTATACTGGCATTTCATTTCTCTTTTTATGTACTTTTTTTTTTTTTTTTTTTTTTTTTTTTTGGGTCCAGTCATGGGGCCTGAACTCTGGGCCTGGGCGCTGTCCTTCAGCTCTTCAGCTCAAGGCTAGCGCTCTACCACTTGAGCTACAGCGCCACTTCTGGCTTTTTTCTTTTTTTTTTTTTGCATATGTGGTGCTGAGGAATCGAACCCAGGGCCTCATGCATGCAAGGCAAGTGCTCTACCACTGAGCCACCTTCCCAGACCTCTTTTTATGTACTTTTTAGGCTTGAAATCGCATATAAGAGAATATTATCTTTGTGTTGCTTTTCTTTTTTTTTTTCCCCCTGTGATAACTCTAAAGGCAGAGTTGCATTTTCAGATAATTGTGTAAGGTATTGAGCACTACCCTACAACATGATTTCCTTGGGTGTCTGAATCTCAATCTTCCTTTCTGACAGTAATCTAAACTATTATTATGATATTTTTACTGGGGCTGCCAGCTTCTCATTCCACAGTCTTTAGAAGGGACTAAATAAAAAATTAATATTATCTTTACAATCCTACAACTTTCGTGGCCACATGAAAGTAATTCCCCAGTGCATCTCCACACCCCTGCCTGTTTTTCTCATATTCATTTAAGGAGAGACATCACTGATTCTTTTCTTCTAGGTTACACACACACACACACACACACACACACACACACACACACACACACACACACACACACACACACACACACACACACACACACACACACACACACACACACACACACACACACACACACACACACACACACACACACACACACACACACACACACACACACACCAGTGACCATAGGTTATAAAGAAGCCATTGTCACTGTTTGCACCTGGGAAAAGATTAAAGTCATTTTTTATTTTCACACTAAAACAGGGTAGGTAGAATGTTTGAGCTCTTGTACACAAGATTCATGCTGACCTCAGATGCTTTTCTATCTGTGAATCTTTATTCCCAGGCATTCATCCTTTCCCTAACAGTTTGTAAACTACCTTGTCTACTATACCCTACAAAATCTTTTCATTTTCTTATTTGTGTAGTATATCAAATGATTATGGCATTTGGATATTTCTTTGAAGTGTTTCTACGAAACTGAGCCCCTTATTAGGCTGTCAGCAGATGGTGCATCACACTGATTATTCTAGCTTGTGTAGAGACAAGTGTCATTTGAAGCAGTTTTTCCTTTTGCTATAGAAAAGTGAAGTTTTAGGTAATATTTACTTCTGGGGGAGGTCTCCGCCACTGATTCAATACTGTGCCCTATCTAACTCTTAAATTTCCGGGCTTGTGTGTGTTACTCTGTTGGTCACATAAAATGATGTTTTTAGTGTATTGTGCTTCTCACTTGGTGCTAGTCTCTAATATTATTTTTTGTAGAACAGTTGTTGTTATTTATACTGATGGGTTGTTCCTGTAACTATTTAGGCTCCACAATAGTTTGGAAGAAAACTGACTAAAAACTGATGGCATGTATGTATATCTTATTTACAATTTGGACTGTGATCTTGTCCTCTGCACTCTTTGAGTTCTTCTGGCTGAGGCTTCTATATGTTGAAATGCCCAACACAGGCTGCCAGAGATAGCTGGCAAGTCGTTGTAAATAGAAACATGTGCAATTCTAAGTCTCATAGAGGAGAGAAAGGCCTGTGATTGAGACTGGCAGTCTTAGATGACAGCACATTTTTTTCTTTCCTTCTTTGGTCCCATAAAGATTCTTAAATGCATTTTGAATTAGTCAATGCATGAACTGCTAACCCAAATTCATGTCCTATGTTTTCAGGAAATGTAGACAAAGAGGAAGGCTTTATAGTAAAATATAGGTTCAAAGTTTAGTACATCTACACATGAAGGTGGTAGGTTCAATAGTGGCATGCATGCATCATTTTTAAAAATCTGAGTCATATTTGCATCATTTAGGTTTGGCTAGATCATCTAGTAAATTGAAACACAAAGAAGTTGTTAAATAAGCAAGTTAAGTTTTCCAATTTCCTTAAAATTTGAATAGAGAGTTCCAACTTGCACTCCAGAAGTTTTCACAATCATGAGATGTGATTGTTTGGGAACATTTGCCTATTAAAAGATGAGAGTTTGTCCCTAACAAAGATAGTAATGGAAAGAAATAAGGATCCAATTGGGAAGCAAGGATGTAGATATAAATGTTAAGTGAATCTTAAATGTGAAGATTACTACCTTCATGAGTAAAGATGATAATTCTTATCAGAACTATAACTTAAAACTACTTTTTAATCTCTCTTTATTCCTTTCCCGCAAAACATGCAGGAATAGTAGAATAATCTGTGTGTGTTGTGTGTGTGTGTGATTTTTAAGAGAGATGAATGTCTTACTGTCCTCTCATCAAATTATATTTGTGAGTCAAGGAAAAACAAGCAGGTTAGATTATGATATAATTAGTCACAAAGGGAACTTCTGAATTTTAAATTATTGTTAGTTTTACTTTTTCTATTTTTATAGTGATTCAATCACTTTTTCCCCTTAAGTTCACATAGACAGTGAAACTTTATACAATAATGTGGGGATGGTAGTTTTCACAAGGGAAAAAAGTCAGCTCTCAACTTATTTTCCTGAGGAATATGGAAATTTGGGATGGATTATCTGTTCAGAGGAGGTTTCCTTTATTAATTCTTTTTTTTTTAACTTAAGACATCTGTTAACATTTCATACAGCCCAACAGATGTTGCAAAGCAAGTCCTATACTTAGTTCTCAAGAAAAATGACATTTCCTCAATTTCTTGCCCCACCTCTGTGACTGGTTCTAGTCTCCTGCTTCTGCATAATTTCTATATATTAAGTTATATACCTTAATGCATTAGGAATTTGAGCTTCAACATTATTTTCATATTGTAAAGTTTGTCTAGATTAGAAACTAGTTTATATGTTGCTCAGAGTAGGAAAAACATTATTGAAATTTTCCTGATTCAACATATAAGACTAGATAGTCTGACAACATTTAAGACTGGGTAGCCATTCAACATTTTTTTTTTCTGTAAAATAAGTGAGTTACAAAAGCTTGAGTTGTTTCACCATACGGAAGTGCTGATTGTCATGCGGTGTGGAGCGTCATTTTTATTATTTTGGCAAGAACAGGGACAGTTTTGTCTTGACAAGCCATTAAATGAATACCAGTGTGTGTCACATGAAAAACCACTGATCTTTAACCCAGCTCTGTACTTAACCAAGCCGTGAAAATGAATAGTGAATAAAAGAAGAGCAAAGGCCAGTTTACTGTCATTACAGATTACAGAATCTGTTAACAGCTGCTGAACTGAACCCAGGGAATTACAGGTATTGTTCTGTAAACCAGCAGAGTCCTAGAGATGCTTCTTTAATTATGTATACAAACTATACACGTATTTTATATTTGCTCAGGATTTATAGTGCTAGAAACACAGAAAAAAATCTAAAACCTTCAAGTACATACTTTCTCAGTATAGTACATGTATGCCTCTACCACAAAGCCCTGTGTATTTATATAACAGTATCTCAGTGAAGCTTTTCCACTCCTAGGTACAGAACTTATTTTACAATAGCAATGAGTTTGTAAAGAAATGAAGTATTAAAAAAAGATATGCAAAATTTTCTCCTATGAAAAAACAAACATCCCATAAAACATAAGCAAAGCAAAATTCTTTCATTCCCTTCTTCTGGCACTGTGGCCAATTTTTGTTTCATTATGTGAGTTTGTTTTAATATTTTTAGAAAATAGCAGACTAGAACTCAAACCCACCTCTATATCAAAATGTTGAAAAGAGTAAGTAACACTTTAAGCAGTCAGTTGTGGGAGTTATTGCTTATTGAGCTAACAAGAAAGAACATACTTTCTTACTCTGCTGGTGGGATTGCACTGCCTCCCTATAGTCTTGTTATCCCACACTAACTGAAATGCAAATTCTTTGTAACTAATTGGATCTCATTGAGGGTACACGCAGTGTGTAGTTATAGTTATATGCAAAAATGGTTTAAAAAGTAAAAGTTTTCTGTAATTACAACTTTTAATTACTATCTAAAACGTTAACATACAGTGCAGGTTTAGAATGTGTACATCTGACTTTTTAAGATGGCTGAACGCATAACATTAACATTAGATAGGTGCAGCTCAAAAATTGCAGGAAAAAATGTTCTAATTACAGTGGTCTTATAAGTTGGATTTTATTAAAGTCTTGTTAAAATAAAAGTGTTTTTCTTTTTAAAGTTTAATATTTAGTGTCTTAAATCCAGTACATTGTAGTGAAGTCATTTTAAGTAGTGCAATCCTTTTCTTGGAACATTTTAAACATGAAAACATAAGCATCAGAAATCATTTCCAAAAGCTGTTGCTGTTTGTCCCCTTCAGTCCTCCAGTCTATCTTACCATTGTAAAATGCATTTGAGATTCTTACTTTGTGTTTTGGCTGTGTGTTGCAATGGTTGGGAGGTATTTTTTTACATTCCTATAATGTCTTTAAAAACTTGGATGCCATCAGACCCAGTTGGTTGCTCCTTAATTTACATGGTCCTTCTCTCATATCAGGAAATGTGCGGAAGAGCAATTACTGCGAAAGTGACGTTCTTCCTAGTCATCTTAGTTTTAAATAACTTTATTACAGATTTTTCTAGAGTCCATATAGAGACAAAGGGAAAACTCTCAAAAGGAAGGCCTTGTAGTTTTTTGAAGGGGAGATTTATGTCCTTAATACAAGTCTCTTGCTTATTAGAGAATTATCCTATGTTCTGGCAATCCATACTTCACAGTCTACATGGAAATGAGTGTCAAATTCAGTTTGTGTATATTTTTGGAATATACAAATTTGCATTTAAAAGTTATTAAAGATGAGTCAGGAAATTAAAATCTGCAAAGTATAGTATGTAATACTTTGAGTTGTTTCTTATTGTAACAAAGCTTGTCTTTCCTGTAAAATATTGTTAAGGGACTAGCTAAGATTTTGTTTGACCAAATCCATTTATCAGGTGCACTATAGTGTATTTGTTGTGAGAAATTTTTTAACTCATATTTTTAAGGTGTGGCTGTGGCAATAAAATCTAGGTAATAGTTGCATTGTAGACCTGTTAGGCTAGACCTTGCTATCTGAGAACTCAGTTTGCCTATTCTGGGTAGCATTTTGTCAGAAGACTGCTGGCTGGGCAGACCAGATTTGGATGTATTAGCTAGTCAGCCTAATAACCCTGTACAGACTGTATTGATTTTCTAGGAGAGAGTTTATGAACTAAATAAACTTGGGGTTGGTGTCTTAATAAACTGCTTCTCTCAGTCTGTCACATTTAGTTATGGAGCTGTGCAGTTTAGGGGGAAAAAAGGCTAATTCTGTTACAGATTGTTCACAGCAGGGTCTCCAAATTAGCCCTTTGTTTTGTAATGCCACCTTGCTTGGGCTCGCTTTGAGCACATTTCTCAGTTTTGCCCTAATGAGTTGCAACACTGATAATGTGGCTGATGATCTTTCATTGATTTCACTATCACTTGCTTGTCTGGTAATTGATCCGTTGCTGAGCCTCTAGTTAATTATATCGGCTTTGACATGGCCCGGTCCACAGGGAATTTCAAGTCTTGCAGAATAACAGTTTTAATAAAAGAGTCTATTACTGCAGGTGCTTGCTGCTGCATGCCAGTTGATTTTTGTGTTGTTAGTGTGTGTGTTGAGGAGAGAGGGTAGAATACCTGGGAAAGAAGAGAGGACTGTAGGACTGAAAGAAAAAAAAGGGGGGGAGCAGTGTGTGTGTGTGTGTGTGTGTGTGTGTGTGTGTGTGTGTGTGTGTTGTGTAAAAAGCGGAAGAGGGAGTAAAAGAGAAGAGGGAGAAAGGTGGGGAAGAGATGGGGGAAGGGGGGGCGAGAGAATACGCAGGCAAAAGGGATACAACAGAGCTTGAGTGGAGCTAGGAGGAAGCTTGCTATTGACAGTGTCCTTAAGCCTCCCACAAATAACAGCCATTAGTGGGAAGGTCAGGAGCTGAGCAGGCAGCTTGACTGAGGCACTGAGTGCCACTTCAGAAATCAAGAGGCTAGCAAATTTTAGAGGGAGTTTAAGTGGGTAATAGCTAGCAGTAAAGGTACAGTCACAGTTGACAATTGACTCATAGGGGTTTTTCCTGCCCTCCCCCCCCAAGAATATTTTTATTGACCACAGGTGGACTTAATATATTTTAAGGCAACAATTCTTTGGGTTCTTGTTTGTTTCCTCTTAGATATTGAATTTGCTTCTTTTGAGACTTTTTTGTGCTTAATGGTGGTGAACTAGAGGGAAGTTTAACAGAAAAGCTTTCAGGAGATGTCGGTTCTAGAGGGGAAGGCACATTTGTGTCAACATAGCGTACGTTTTCTCATCTTTTCTCATTGTCCACTAATGACACAGAGCTGCCATTGAAGCTCTTTTCTGTTTCTTTTGTTGTTTCTGAGAGTAAGGTTTATTGTTATTCTTTAGTTAAGAAGGAGTAAGGAGAGTGGTACATTTGTCCTCAATATTTGTAGGTGGTTGAAGATTAATGTATCTTACATTTTAAGTTTAGGAAGGATGGCTTTTTCCTGCTGACTACTTTTATGAGATGGCATGAATTTAGCTTTCCCTTTTGAAGTTTCAGTGTTTATGTACAGTGCATTTTGTTCAGTTCTGCTTTGCCATAAATAAGGTAGATAAATACTATCTAATAAATAGATGCTTTGTTTTTAACCTGGTTTAATTAAAAATATCACCTGCTATTAAGGCCGTATTTCATCAAACAGAAGAATGTTGTAGAATTTTCTATAGAGATCTTAAATGAAAAAAATGGTGCTTATGTATTTATTTTTGACTGAAATAGGATAGGCATTTTTCTTCATCTTTTTCTTTTTTATGATCTGAAAGGATATTGTAGATGTTTTATCTAAGAACTTTAACAAAGGATGTTGTTCTATTGCGCTTTAAAAGGTCTTTTCCCCCCTTTGCTATTCAGTTTATCATTACTTAACCTCTAGTTCGGTAATTAATGGCCTGAGGTACTAGATATTAAGTAGTATATATTTATTTTGCAAATGTTTATTGTACATCTTCTATGTTCAACTGCTAGGTCAAGCCTATGTATATTGTTTTTTTTTCTGTGAGTTTATGTGTGGTTATAAATAGTCCAGCACATGCTATATGACTTTTAGCAGCTAACATTTAGACAACTGAACCAACTTTACATTCTCTTCCAGCTGAATATTTTGTTTTCTTCCGGCACAGTTTTTTAAAATTAAATGTTACAGTTTTATAAACATTAAAAACTGGAGTCAGATATTGTATACTATACGCTCTGGTTGGGTCACATTTCCAGGGAAGGAAGGACACTAGCTTTCCCTTGCCCTATGGACTCTGGTGATTGTTGCACTATTTGAAGTGTGCATAAGTGTCTTTCTGTCTGTATCTGGAGAGGGGTTAGGCAGGGTGTCATTTGGTGCCTGACAGTGGAACAGTGCAGTTGACTCTTAGCTCTGCTGTCCAATGACATGCAGTGGTGAGGGTTTGAAGCTGATGGTTGGGTCTCCAGTGCTGCCTGCACACCTGACAGGCAGCTGTTAAACTGAGCAAAGGCAAGCTTGGGGAGTCACAATCTATGCATAAATGATAGGGATATCTGTGCAGAAGGTGCAAAGGAAGCTCTGACCCCCCTCCTTCCCCCAAATCTCTTCCCTTCCCAAATGAAATGCACAGTTCAGCCAGCTTCTTAACTACACTACACTCCTGCTACTGGCTGCCAAGAGGCTCAAAAATCCACCTTCACTTTTCAGTCAGAAGAGGCAGAAGTGGATGTGAGAGAAAGAGAGACACAGAGAGACAGAGAGCCAAAGAGGGCAAGAGACTTGACTTTAAGAGACTCGTGTACTGACAACTCCATGCAGTTCGGAACCAGAACGACTACGGCTGAACCAGGGTTCATGGGGACATGGCAAAACGCTGACACTAACCTCTTATTCAGAATGTCCCAACAGGTAAGTTTCTTTCTTTCTTTTTTTTTTTCCTGAAAAAAGAAACCTCGAATTGTTATGTGTACTTTTGTTTCTCGTATTTTGCTTTCTAAATTTTTTTTTTCTAATGTGGTCATTTCACAGTTTGGCTCGATTTTTGTTATAACTGTGTTTCTGGAATGCGTAGGGTTACTTCATGGTTCCCCTAAGGGCTCCTAAGAAGAACAAGGGGGAAAGGATACTTAAGTAAGAGGAAGGCAAAGGTATTTGTTGCAAAGTTTCGTTGCCTGGATCATGCGAAGACTTAATTTTGTTTCTTTTGTTTTCTGTTAAAAAAAAGAAAGTCATTACCCAGAGAATACATCTTTATCTCTTTATAAAACACTTAATCAAAGTGTCTGTTGTCTCGGAGAAGGTTCAGCAACCAAACAGTCATAAAATCTGGGTGCCCTTCTGCAGCCCGACTGACTTCTTGTGGCTGGAAACTGCTTGGTTTCAAGACCAGATGGGGAAAAGAGGAGGCTGTGTAGGCTTCTTTGCCGGCGCGTCCTGGTCACCGCGGAGGGTCGCGGAGGAGATGGAGCGCGTGGCGGGCGAATGGGGCGGCACGGCGCAGTCCAGGCTCTGTGTCCAGCTCGGCCCTGCCTGGCCCAGCGCCCCAGCGCTCTCCGCACTGTGCAGCGCCACGCCGCGCTGCGCATCTCCGGACCCGGCTGCTTACCGGACCGCCCGCCGCTGCCCGCCCGCCAGCCCGCCCGCCAGCGCACTCACACTCCGGCACAGCCGCGGTGTCCTCCAGGGCCGCTCCTCTATCCAGGCTGGGCTGAAGGCAGCTCGGCGTGCAGCTCTGCCTGAGAGCCGACATGTGAGAGTGAGGCCAGCGGGAACTGATAATTAATCACCAGGCCAGCAGCTTGTACCATGCGCTCCTTGATACGCACCCTGCGCTCCCGGCTCCTCTTGCACAATTGCTGGCTCTGCGGCTCCGCGGGGGAGCGAGGGTAAGAGGAAGCGAAGGGGAAACAACCCAGAAACTTTTGTCTTGGACTGTGCTCAAGTAAGGGAGGGAAGTTCCCCCGGTGCCTCCCTCCTAGACAAGTCTTGCTTTTCAAAAAGCCTGCACCAAACCCACACAAAGCAAGAGTTTATCATCCACGCAGCCCTGACAAATACACTTGATTTTAAGTAGATGGTGATGGCTAAGAAATTGATACCGTTCCACTTATTTAAAAAAAAAAATCGCTGCAAGTGCTTAAATGTTTTTCTTTGTATGTAGAAGGTAACAGATATTACATACTTTGAGCCAAAATATTTTAAATTGTTGATAATGAAGGAAAGAAACAATTTGCCAGGCTATGAACGGCCATAAGTTTAAAAATATATTTGCCAAAGATAGTGCATACAGTCAGGGTTTTGTAGCATTTAGCTGGCAAACAGTTTAACCACACAGTTCTAGCTGGGGTAAGTGTATCTGAATAAGGTGTATGTTGACATCCTGTAGAGGGACCCTGATTACTGCTGATACAGTAAGCTGGGATTTAAATGCAATCAACATACACCCAATAAGCAACTCTCTACAATTTCCATTCTTGCAAGTGAAAAGTTCATTTCCTTACAGAGATGCCCCTTGTCATTGCAGAATGCTTTGGGCGATATTTTTATGCATCACATCCCTGCCTGGGTGGCTCTCTTGTGGTTGGAACACAGAGTATGTTTTCACTAACCTTAGAACCAAATAACTTGGTGCTACACTTTTAAAATTAGGTGTCACCTTAAGGTTTACCTTGAGTTTGTGGAGATCCTGTGTGTGTGTGTGTGTGTGTGTGTGTGTGTGTGTGTGTGTGTGTGTGTTTTGGGAGGGAAGATTGGTTTAGGTCTCCCTCTAGCTAGAAAAGAGTTAATAAAACCAGATAGAGATAATGATCAATTGATAAATGGCTATTGAACCACATAGATGGTGTTAGATTGCTTCTTTGGCACCAGCCCATTTCCAAGTAGATTTGAATGTAAGGCGTCTTTAAGTCATGGAAAGCATTTTAGCTAAAAAAATAAAAACTAAATTATATAAATGATGGGTCTGAATTTAAAAAATGATTTTAGATTTCTCATAGAAAAACTTGTGCAACTAAGCTAACACAATGTCTTAGAAACATCCTGTTCTCCTGTGGAGGAATAAAGATCTATTTTGTATGTACCTGTATGAATGAATGTTTAATCAGTAACTTTATGTTGCAAAGTAATTTGTGCTAAGGATTCCCTATAAAACTACATAATATTAATTATACTATTTACTAAGTATGGTACTACAAAAAAGGGAGAGAAACCAAAATTTAAAGAAGTATTGTGATTGAAGTATATTATTAATGTGGTTTCTTTTTGGAGGGTTTTTGATGTAGTTAACAATCCTTTTTTTCCTCTCATACTTACTAAATATTTACCTTCTGTGCATTTTTGGAAAGCACATAAAAGAGAGTGAGTTTGTATGTGTATGTGTTTTCCTTCAATAGTTTGTATAAATATTGTGTAAACATAAATTCAAACTGTGTTTAACTCTAAGCCTATATAGTATACATGTTTAATATTTTTGTTTTCCTTGCAAATTATTATCAATGCTGTTGAGACAGAGAGTGAGGGCGAGAAAATGTGTTGTGAGAAAGATGCCTTAAAATGATCTCTCAGTCATTAATTTTGACAATTATTAGGTTCAATACCCATATTGAGACAGCTTTTTAAATGTAAAAGTTTGTTAAGTTTAATCAAGCATGCAGAATTCTGTGTGTCTCATTTCTAAGGCATAGAAATTTTTCTAGATGGATAGTTTAATTTGTAAGTAAAAATGCATTTAGCTTATGAAATGAATGGAATTTATTGGGCACATTTTTTCCAAATTTTTATTTTATAGTATAAATATTAGTAATTCTATGATCATTTCTTTAAACATTAGAAAAGACTGATTAGTAGAGCTACTATAAAATGTTTAAGGACTCAATCCTAGAGAATTTACTAGCAGTAAACAGAAAAATTTTTGGTGGGGAATTTGTTGTGAATTCTAAAATTTAATAATCTAGTCTTATGTCTTCTATAGGTAAACTAGGAAGTGGGAGATAAAAATCTTTTATCTTTTATTTCATTTGAGCAAAGTTGGATTTCCTTAAATGTAAATCTTGTGTTCTAATACTAGCAAAAAAAGCTCAGAATCCAAAGTCAATTTTGAGTTGGAAGGATTAATTATGTTCCTCTAAAGTTTGAGGATACAACTATTTGACGTTATTTTCCTGTCTACTTAGCATTTGTTTCCTTCCACATTAAAGTATGATTTTTCTCAAAAAGGATCATGAAAAGCTTAACAATTGACTTCTGTGAAGGAAGTTCTGGGGACAGTTTGATCAGTGATCTCAAGAATGACCAAAAACCTTTCCCTCTTTTCTGCTCATCCTATAGCCCAGACACAACCTTATTTTAGGCTCAATATTGTTAAAAGCAAAAATAAGGTCTGTTTTTGCAAGTTAAAAAAATTAGACTTTTAAAAGGTAGGTTTTCTATTTTTGTACCTGTTTTGTATATTTGAGAGGCTACCGGATCAAATTCTTACAGCTACCTCGAGGGATGGTATAGTCTTATCTACTTTAAAATCTTTCCAGAAATGAAACTGTACAGGTACATTTCACATATTACTACAGGCATTTATCTTTTATTATTGGTAGATGTATAGCATGTTTCAAATAAAATGCAGATCCCTTAATAAGGTCTCTTTCAGACTGAGTGAAATACTAAGTTAGAATTGTAAATGACTGAGTATCATTATGTAGTAATTTAGGATTCACCCAATGATGTAACAAAATTAACAACATAATTTCATTGTGAAACTATGTCTTATTAAAGAACAACTGTCTGACATTCTCTTACAGTTGCTTTATTTAACTTCATACAAATATTATTAATAGTGACATTTTTCTATTGTGCATTAGATTCTCTCATTAGCATGATGTGTTAGTTATCACCAGAGAAATCATTTCCTAGATAGGTGAGGGGCAAACCAGGAAACTAAAAATTAAACTAGTGATTTACATTAATACTAGAGCATCTGCTCACCAGAGATAGGACAAGAGTATAAACTTTCTTATTAATATAAAATCTAGTACTATTCAGAGAAATGATAAATAAAATGTAAGAAATATGTTATTGTAATCCATTTAAAAGACTTCTAAGATAAGTCTTTTAGATGAATATTTCTTCTAATAGTCTTTTAGTTCTTTCAATTCATAAAGAAAGGCACAGTCTCAGTTTGTGAGATCTATATTTTCAAATGAAAATGATGGTTTTGTCTGACTTCTTGAATATTTATTCATTTGAATATTTATTATTAACAATTTAAAAGCCACGTATACAGAATTTCTTTTAAATCAGATGTCTAATTGTGATTTGATTCTGTACAGCTCATTTGTACCATACATTTTCCTGCAAAGCTTTATCCCACAAAAATAGACATCCCCTTTTAACATAGGATGAATTTTCTTTTTTAATCAGAGCCCGAGTAAAGCAGAGGATAGTTAATGATCTTTGAAAATGACTTTCATTGCCAAGCATCGACCATCTCTAGGTGTCCTTCTGTACTTTTTCCTCTCCCCGTCCCCCTTTTTTTTTAAAAAAAACTTTCTTCCTCCTTATATTTGGTATATTTGACTAAAAAGAGAAGGATTAAATTGACCAAACTTGGGCTCTTGATTCTTAGGTAAATATTTGTATTAGCAGGCATGTAATTTTAGCCTGTTGAATATTAGGCTATTTCCCAAACTTAGTTTTTTGTCAAGTGATAATACATTGTATTTTGAAATCTTAACAATAGACATAGCTTGCAGTATAATTCTCAATGTCCATTCTGATACCATAACATTAAAATAGGAATATTTGGGTAATTGTTAAAATATAAATTGTAGTATAGAGTCAGGTGCTTATGTTTCAGCTTCTACTTTACAAGTATATGGCTAGCACGCAGCTTTCATTTAACAGATACTGCTTAATTT